GCCGGCAGCCTCTGGTGCCGGCGGCGGATTTAGTGCGGGATCATCTGTTCGGAGAATAGGTTTACGTTCGCTTCGGCCGTTATCGGCGACATTCCGGCAACGGCTACTGAGGAGGGCTTGGCGACCTGTACTTGTGAGCATACCCGAGTAAATTACCAATTTACTAGGTATATTGTACCTGATTAACTAGAGATAAAATAAATACGAGTAGTGCAATCATATATTAGGAGTTAAAAACTTATTAATCCTCTTTGATTTTGTGTGGCAGAGTATATCCTTTTACGTAGCTTAATTCCGTAATTTTTCCAATTTTACGGCAAATTACCATGAACAATGATCGTAAATTTGAAATTTCATGAATGACTTTGATCTAAAAAGTTTACTTTGCGATTAATTTGTATTTCTCTAATTTAATTATGTGTGGAAGGTTGAAGCATAAAATTAGTTACAAATTTCATCTTTTGTGTCTAGAATCTACAGTAAAGTGATTTATTAAAGTTTTACTTTAGTTTTTGCTAGATTGTTCAAACACCGAATTCACCACTTTTGCTTCTAATTTCCATGGACGAGAATTGTCACTTGCTTTTTCTACTTTTTCCCAACACTCCTAGTAATAGTAGTAGTAATAGAAGAAAACATGTCATAGTAAAAGATAAAATTCATCAATTTCGAGAATTTGAAAAATTATCTTTAATGAACAAATTTGGTAATTTCGATAAGAATTTGTTTTCTTTGTAATTTGAACCTCTAAAGCAGTTTGGAAGTCACAAACATCATGGAGAACATAATGCCTATTGCAGCATGAGATTTAGCAATTCAAATCTAGCCAATACAATCATTCAACTTCATGCATACCCAAACCAAAGTCTTTTAGCTCCTTTAACATCTACAATAACATACCCAGTAAAATCTCGCAAATAACTCGTATAAATTCAGGGAAAAGAGAGTGATAATGACAAATAGTTTTATAGTTTTATTCTTCTTATTGTTGCTATTGTTGGGTAGCTTGTACACTCGTTTTCAGCAAGGAAGTACTAGTGGTACTACAGAGTCTAGCAGAATCTTTTAACGCATGCATTGGTAATTGGCTTAACAGTTAAATAATTACAGAAACTGCACAGCCCATGTCAATAAAAATAGGTTTTTTGACCTACAAGGCAAGATATCACTATTTTAATCTTTATTTTTAGTAAAGTTGCAGAAATTTAATGATACTGATATTGAAAAATATTTCTAATATATTGTTGGTTTGGTAATGAGAAAAGGGTATGGTGGGGCAAGTTGGTATTGAAAGTGTTATAGATCATGACGACAAAGTCCAATAGGAAAGAGATAAAAAGTTGATAAATAATATAATACTATAAAGTTCTGTCTCATTTTACTTCGTATTTTTGCTTTGTTCCCATACTTAACGCTTTTTGACGAAGCTAACTGGGGTATGTGACATTGATTTTATATTTAAAATTTAAAAATATGAATGAATGAGATTGGACACCTCTTATTTTTATTGTTGTAGTGTGCACAGAATCAACAATTTGTCTATATATCATCTAATTTTTGAGGTTTGGCTTGCCAATTGTATTTTTATGGTTTGTATCTCTATTAATTTTGAAGTCTAACTAAATTTAATTTATTGCCAAAAAAATCATAATTGGAGACCTATTTAAGTGTTTTCTAATATAGACGATTGATTATATATTCAATAAGACTCAAATTTGAAATTTTGATTAGAAATGAATGATTACTTACTAATCCATCACTACCTTTGTTGATTGGCTTATAAACTATAGTTGCTAATACGTTGGTTGGTGCAGTTGATCTTTTGTTTTCTATCTATACTTCTTTTTTATTGATTCATGTTAAACTGTACTCCATCCATCAAAATAAATATAGTTTTAGCTCATTTCATAGCTATTAAAAATATTTTTTTAGCTTTTAAATATGTAAATTGTATCCTAAAAAGATTGTAGATTTATGTTTGGATTGACACAAATTTTTAATTGTTTTGAATATCCCTTACTCTAAATCATGTTATATAAAATGGAAAAGGAGTATCATTTTATTTTTATAATTTTTCTAGATGTAGCGTGTACTCCCTACGTTCACTTTTAATTGTCTAATACTATACTTAAAATATTTATTTATTTTTAACTTGTCACTTTTAGCACATCAAAAGAAAATTATAATATTTTTAATACTTTACCTTGGCATCAACTTATTCTTCAAATTATTTCTCAAGACATAAGACTAGACATTGATTATTAATATGAATATTATGATGATTGCTAATATATATCAATCAGTATTTCACTAGTTTCATAAGAAACGTGTCATATTCAAAGTGAATAAGTGAAAGTGAACGGAAGGATCACTAGTAGTAAGGGTTGAAGTTAAATCAGTGAATATGTATAATGACGGTATATATGTAACATATATCACATTTGAGATGCATGTGAATATATATGACCTATACTAATAATAAACTTTTTCACTGAGCATTATAATTGAAGCTTTAAGGAAAAGTAGAGGTACCAAAGCCATGCAAACAAATGTCCAAAGAAGGTATATGTGATATGTCATCTCCCTTTTCCACAATCACATGGACAATATATAGTGCTAGACAGATAACAAGAATCCGAATGCTTAGTACTATAGGCAATATCTTCAATAAATCTATCCTGGTTTTGCTTACTTGTGAAGTCAACCACGTTAGAATTCAATTGATCGAAGGTATTGCTTTGGCTTCAACTTTATAAAAAGTTTACTCCTACAATAGTAATGAGATTATATTATTTTGAACTCGCGAATTCAAGGTTATATATTTATCTCGACATAGGTGGATTGAGGATAAAATCACGATGGGAGCTAAAGCAATTTGAGCTAGCTATTCTAGTCCCCTAAAACTCGCAGAAATAAAAAAGTCTGGAGAAAAAAAATCGAGGTTGAAAAACCTGACTTTTATTGGTTTGGTTTACAAAATTAAAAAATTCGATACAAATGGTTTGAAATCAATTTGGTCTATGTATACCCCTAATTGTAAGTTGTTTCGTAAATTCTAGTCTATTAGTGACAATATACCGTTTGAATTGACGAAGATTTTGTCCAAACTCTCAATAAAGGGCATTCAATAGTTTGTTACAAAATATACAGTTTCTATTTAATATATTTCTTACAAAATATTTGTTAATCAACACTTTTATATTAGTCTTTTTATATACATAATATATTTCTTACAAAATATTATTATACCGTATTTGAGTATGAGTGTTATAGAAGGGATATTATTATACAGTATTTGAGTATGAGTGTTATAGAAGGGTAAATTTTACAAAGAGTATACTATTATATGAATGTCATTATTGTTATAGAGAAGTAAAATATAATATGAAAAATTAATTCCAAAAAAAATCATGTCAAAATAATAATATACAGATTTAATGATAGATAGAGTTAATAATTAACGGATCATTAATCCGCCCAAATCTATAGAAAATGAACGGAAATAATTCCCTTTATGTAATGTAGATGTTTGACGAGAACGTAAAGTCAAATTGCGTTATAAGGCCCAAAATGAGCCGGATCAACCTGACCCGAGGCCCAAACGGAAAGTTGCTTTAAATTAAATTTAGGTAGAAAGAAAGAAATTCTCCAAATTGGGAATTTCTCATATCTCCCGCCAAAGCTCGTCATTCAAATTCTTCGTTTTGAGAAACTGAATTGAACAACGCCGCCGGCATTTCCATTCCCCAGTTTTCCGATGTCGGCTTCTTTACCCAAGGTATAGTTCATGAATTCAGCTTTAGATGTTGTTATTTTCACTGATAAATCTTCAAATCTGAATGTTAGGGTTCTCAAGAGCATTTTTCGTTGCTAATATTGTTATTTCTACGGGTTTGTTGTTTTTGTTTCAGATGGAGGCGCTTTATTCTAAGCTCTACAGCAAGTACGCTAAGCTCAAGGTATTTAGGGATTTGTACAAGTTCATTTTTTAAATTTAATTTTTGAGCTGAACTAGGTGGGAACTTAGTGTCTTTTCCTGTTTACAATTAGTGGTTTGCAAGAGTAAGATTTTTCATTCATCTTTTTTCTTTTTGGTAGAAAGAAAAAGACACTAGCATGGAGAACCTGAATCGGGAACAAGAGGAGAAATTTGTGAATTATGTGGCTGGTAGGTTTATATTTGAATGCTTACCTTGATTTTTATCTAATAATTATGGAATTTCCCCTTTTTCTTTTGTAGCTATTACGTTTTGCCAATTTAGAGATTGTATTTGTCATATTCTTACACATTCTATACGTTGAGTCTCTGTTGAAAGTATGAAATTGTATTTCCAGATGAAATCTGTACTTGGAGAACTCATAGGTGCTATTTTTAATTACATTAGATACAAACTTGGTTGAAGGTTTGACATGCAGCTTTGTTTCTTCCAGCTGCTGATGCAGTGATTGACCACTTGAGAAGTGAAACGGACAGACTAGGGGAACAAGTAAATGAGTTGAGGAGTGAAATGACATCAATGAGGTCTGCACTCATGAGAAAGGCTTACTCTATTCAGTAAGAATAATCAAAAGAATATAAATGTGTACTTAACTCGGCTGCAGGTCTGCCAAAGATGAAGAAATGATTCAATACCAAAAGCTTTTGATGGAAGAGAACCTGAAGAGTAAGGATAAATTTCAAGTCATGGTAGAACTCTTATAATGTCTATAGTCCTATCTATATTTTCTGCTAGACAGCTAGGCAGGTTAGTATTGCTTTAAATATATTGGATTTGTGGTTAAGTCTACGTATATGCAAGTTGAAGAAAATACCAGTGACTTCAAAGGTTCAATTTCTTGTTACTCTTATTGAAGCATAAAATTTCTAAGAGAGGTCTCTATAGTTCAAACATGTTTGAATTTCAATCCATTCAGGACTTGATGTGATTTCTTTATGTCCATTTAGAAAGAGAGATGTTCAGCTTCAATGCTTGTTTGACAGTCTTAGCAATTGGTGGCGTCAGATGGGGTTTATTTCTTCAAACATTCTTTTATATTTGATGCCTTTATCTGTCTACTTTCTACAAAACTAGATGCTCCATCTGTGTCTTCTACGGTGTTGTGAAAGGCGATTGCCTTGTCGCCAATGGCGAGAGGCAAGGTGAGGTGACCCTTTATCGCCTATTAGCTTTGTGGCAAGGTGATGCCATGATGACAAAGGCGAGAAAGGTGTCGCCTTTTGTATTTTCTTAAAATAAGCAACCAATTTAGAGTTCTAAAAGTTAAAAGGTAACTTTAGGGTTTTCTTTCCAAATTTGCACAGTTGCACTCTTAGACTGCGACTCCAACCCGTCTACTCGACTAGACTTCTCCAGCGACTTCAAAGTCCAAACAATACATAGTTATTCTTTTCCTTCTTTTTTCTTCTTCAAATTTCTTCTTCCTCTATTTCTTTTTCCTTCTTCTTCAGACTTCAGAGTTACTTCTACCTCTGTTTTTTACTCACTATTTTGACTTTTGTTCTGTTTTTTTCTCATTCAAGTTCTAGACTTTTAGTAAGTACTTTCCATTTTCAGTTTTTGAATTGAAATATTTGCTAATATGTTATTGCTATAGAGATTTGCTAAGTGCTCTATGAAGGCAACTATTCATTGTGTTCCTCTGGGGATTTTAGTGCTTCTTATAATGGCTTTGCTGTTTACTTTTGAACTTTTTTGGAGATTAATATTTGCATTCTGTTGAATAAGTTTTCCAATTTTGAAATCCAAATAGTTATATAGATATTGCCAATGCTGCAGATAAGGAACTCCGTGATGAAATTCAGAGGCTTCAACAACTTGATCAGGAGGGGACCTGTTTCAATGCTAGCAATGATAAAGGAAAAAGAAGACAAATTATTACTGATGGAGATTCTCTTCCAGATGCATTGGATGACTCAACCAGAACAAACAAGAAACACCGTAGGCAGTCTTTGCTCATTGTACAAGACACACATACACCATCTCCCATGGAAGAACTTCCAAAAAGACCTGAACAACCAAGTATGAGTTCATATAAGTACACCGAGGTCAGTGCTACTCTCCAATTTCTATCACATATGCTAGTTTATCCGGTAAACTTGAGCTGGGATTTTACTATTCTGACCATTAGGCAATATTTTGCAGCCTGCTTGCTGTAGAAGAAATGTTGACATTTCTGGTTTGTCCCACCTTTAGTTGTTAATTTTAATATGTGTCGTCTCCTCTTATGTAACTATTCCTTTGATGGGATATTCTAGGTGATAGTGCTGCTGACATATCTCCAGCCTCGTGCATCTTCCAAGACCTTGTTCAGTGGTTAGTCGGTATGAAATTTTCTGCTGTCACGGAAAATGAAGAATTATGCATATCAGCTCTTCATGAGTCGAGCGGTAATTTCTGGAGGAACTTTGTTATCCTGGATCTTGCTTCAATTTTTGGTCCTTTTTCTTTCTTTCCACTTCCATTTTCTACTGCCGTCTGCCTAAGCAAATATGTGCTAATACTTGTTAAAAAATCTTTGAAATTTACAGAGGCGTCGTTCAAGTTTCAATAGTCTTAGAAAACGTGCCGTATTTGATGACTTGAGTTTTATTTGGTTGAACTTTTAGTTTTTTTATTTTTTTTTTATAATTTTGACCTAACAATAACTAGTTGGCAGTATGTCCAATTTAACTGAAAACTAAAAGTTTGTATGAACTTAAATTTTGGGATCTAAGTCATTACAATATGCGGTTGATATTAATCTTAATTTGTCTTGTGGGAGTCGAGAGATAATCAGAAAAACATCCTCAATTAAGAGAAGTTAGTCGCTGAAACTTGAAATGGTGCTTGCTTATAATCAGAAACCTAGATAGTTTATAAGAAATCATCCGATTGTTACATCTTTAGTTTCATTTCTATCTGCAAAACTGGAAAAAAATTTCTCTTGGTGTCAAATTGAATTTTTTTCATCTTTTTTTTTTTCTTCGAAAGCTCTTTCAAATTTTGAACCAAATGCCACCTAAGTTTCATTTCTGTGATTTTACCGACAACAGCTGTATAAAAACCAACCAGGGGTTGTTTGAGTGGTGAACTTCTATATTTTTAATGGTGTAATTTGAGCTACTAAATGATTCTCACTTGTCTTATTATACATTTGCTACCACAGTGCACTCAACTGTATCTACATCTTCAAGTTAATTATCTTTGGTTAAATTAAGGAGTCGTTTGGTTTGAAGTATAAGGAATAATAATCCTAGGGATAAAGTGTAGGACTATTTTATCCTGCGTTTGGTTGGAGGTTAATGCAGTCCTGGGATTATTTATCCCACACTTTATACCTTAGTGATGGGATAAGTTATCCCATATGCATGGTGAAACAACTTTTCCCAGGATAACGTAACCCAGGATAACTTGTTCCTCACCATTATGACCCCTAATTTGACCATCAAATTATTTTTAAATCATATTGTTTTGTGCTAGAATTTTTTCATTCAATAGTAGTATTCTAGTTTGTGTTTACTATTATTTTCTAAATTTTGAAGAATTCAAGTAAAAAATACAACCTTAAACATTGATGAAGTTTGCCCCTCAAGAGAACTTGGTCGTTTTTGCCACTGAATGAACAGAGTGTTGTTAATTTATGGAAATTACTAAATTAGAAAGGAATCACTTAGGCCCCTTATAAGCCAGCTCTTTAATGTTGAACTTCATTCAGATAATCAGAATTTCCAATTTCCCTTTTTTCTTTCATTTCCAATTTAAAGTACAGCATTGTGATAGTTGCTCTTTAATATTTATGTGTTGCGATACCCTCACACAGAGAGAGAACTAGAAAGGCTTAGGATTAAATAATGGTGTGAATTACCGACAAGTCTAATTGATCAGCTATCTGGACTAACTATGTTTCACAGTTTCTTGTGGTCATATAGTATGCTTTATGGTCTTTGGCTGTATTTAATTCACAAATACTGACAAGGAAACGATGTCCATATGTTTGTTTTGCGGAGACAATATAAACTTGCCTCATTACTCTAGTTTGATGCATGGAGGAAGTGATACGGTTGCTATTGAACTCTGTGGTGCTGTCATGTTTCTTCTTTTCGTTGCTAAGTGAAGCATGCATCACTCCAAGTTTAATTTGTTTATTGATAACAGCAACTTTTGGAGCGTACAATCTGAAGGTCCATTGTCTTGGTTTGTGCAGGATTATCTTTTAGTCTGACGTTGACAAAGAATGCATCTGCAGAACATGAATTGGTGTACCGCGTATTGTCACTGGGGACTTTTGAGAGAGTGGCCCCTGAATGGATGAGGGATACAATCATGTTCAGCCCAAATATGTGTCCACTTTTCTTCCAGAGGGTGTCTCGTGTTATCAAGCTCAGTTACTGAGTCCCTTTCTCATAAGTTTCCAACTTGGGACCTGATTGGGTTTAGTATTGTATATATATCCCTCCAACTTTCTATGTTGAGTTTATATTATTGTACATTCTAGAGCAGACTTTGGCGTTTTAAAGATTGTTTAGTTTATTTTACTTTTACACAACTGCAAACATATTTTGCGTGTAAACGGAGTTTTGCATCTTTTTTTCATAGAGTTTATATTATTACTCGATCATCTGTGAGGTAATTGATTTAGTTTCTGTTTTATTGTATGTTAAATTCACCATGCCAACTCTCAAAACAAATTTGATGAGAATTACAGTGAAATTATCAAACAATTAACTAGGCCCTCAATGCAAAGACAAAGGGTTGGCTATATGATTTTTTTTGCGGACTTTCGTTCTATTAAAGACTCATATTTATACTGCAACTGATTAAGAATTAATGGCAAACTAAAACAAAGTTGAAGAACAATAATATGTTGGACCAATTACCATAAAAGGAAACAGCTCTTAGGTTTTTCAACATACATTTGAGCAGAATTGGCAGGTCATTACAACAACTATCTCATGCATGAGAAAACAACAAAATAATACCGAAAAGAAATATGAAAACAATAACAAACGAAATCCAAGAGGGACGATAGCGGTGCTTGGTGGAGGAAACTATGTTGGCTCCTGGCATCCTTATATCCATTGGCTCTAAATCTGATCGGAAAGGGAAGAATTCTAGAAAACCATGGCATTTCTTCAGTGTAACTAAGTTAAAGCTCTTGTCTTGAAGCTTGTAGAAGAAAACTCTATTGTCCTCTGCCATCAAAACAATATCTGCATTATAAAACCCATGCGGGATTGCATATTTTGCCTCGCCCTTTATAATCTCAATGTCTACTTCCTTAATGATCAACTCCCAATCTCGTCTTCCATTATCGAAAACCCAAAGCATTATCCCATTGGGTGACAAACAGGTGCACCCAAGCTTCCCCTTATACTCCATAATATGCCGGTGACCATCATTGTACGTATCATCAATACCGGGACAATTTGGAAGAGAGGGTCTTGGAAAAACTTCTTCCCCATCATAGTTTAGAGCCATCACCTGACCATGACATAGTTGGAAATAAATCAAACCAGCTGCATGCACTGCTGGAGCATATGGCTCAAAGAAGGATGACAACAATATATCTTTTCCTTGCCTCCACCTCCAATATTCAGAATCAAAAATCTCACATCGATAGTGCCTGATCAGCCCCAGTTTGCTATAATGACAAGGCTGAGCCTGAAACGACAACCTTATAATCTTGAAATGCAGAGGTTTTGATCTCAGCACAATGAGAGCAACTTTTTCGGTAAAATAACGCATTTTTGGACTAGGAAGTTTCACCCATTGCTTGGTGCTAGGCTTACAGATATGAAATCTAGACCTCCAATTCCCCAATGTAATTACACAACATAGAATCCCTTGCATTGTGGAGGCCACAATCCTCGTGTCGACGAAGAAGGCCGCCGGAAGCTTTACTAGTTCATCAGGACGAGGAAGATGGAATGGGGTTGTAGTAGTACTATTCCCTGAACAACCATCCATTGATACAAATTCTGATACCTGCTCGCCAAAGAACCGACCCTGGACAAAATATCCTGAGATATTTTGACTATTAGCACAAAATTGTGGCATGAAACTCGATTCGAAAATCATATCGTGCCATTCTTTTTTAACAGCCTTGCAAGTGTCTAGTGTTTCCAATGATGTTCGACTTAATATCTTGAAAATTATATCAGAAGGAAGTGGACGAGAAGAAGAAGCCATTGTATATATATGAATAGAAATTTTAATGAAATATAGCAATATGTGTTTCAATAGTCATTGCTCTACTAAACACTACATATATAGGTGAAGGGTATTCCTTGATTGACAAGGAGTACTTTGGAAATTAATAAAACATTTAAAATATCGAACATTTAAAAACATTTTTAGTTCCGAATTAGAGCTTTTGTGTGTGGATCATTTATTATTTTTCCTAAATTGTATTTATTCTTCTTGTGTGAACTGTAAAATATTAGTTGAGTTCACATGGCTGGACATACATGATACATTTTTAAAAAAAATTAAAGAAGACATACACGACGATACATGTATCTGGAAAAACTACTTAATTTCAGCAACACTCCTACCATATATATCATTTCCTCTGTCTCAATTTATATGAATTATTTTCCTTTTTAGTCAATCCTAAAAAGAATAACACATTTCTATATTAAGTAACAATTTAACTATAAAATGTTCATTTTACCCTTAATAAAATGATTTACAGCCACACAAATTTCTATCATTAATTTTAGACCACAAGTTTTAAACGCTTTCCTTCCTTTTTTAAACTTCGTACCGAGTCAAAGTACCTCCCATAAAATGGGACGGAGGGAGTAATTCACACTATAGTTTGAAATGATTACATATTGTCTCACTAATTTCATACCAATTCAAGTCATATACATGCATATGACACTAGATACATGTTTCTTTGATATTAGATACACTCTAAAACACATATACATATGGAGAGAGGCAAGCAACAGAGGACAAAGGTGGGCAGGAGTATTAGTGTATCACATATACATACAAATCATGTTTGAATACAATTTGACCCATGTATCCGAGATACATGTATTTGACGGAGGGATTTGTATTGTTTCCTCATTTTAATAGGATCCTACAGGTAAGTATTAAACTGGCCGGGTCATTCGCTACAATATCCTTACTTGCTGTTAATTGTAGATTAGTTGGGCTGGAATATATATATATATATATATATATATATATATTCCCCAGCATCATGGTTTTAGATCTTAGGTGTGGATTAAAGACTTTTTAGACCACAGTTAAAAGAAAATCTTGTGAGAAAATATCATATCGTGACATAATATTTTGTAAGTTGTAGTGAATGTATGCGACAATAAGGTTGAGCAACATAACGAGTCGAGATTAGACCCGAGTCGAACGTTGAATATTATGCATTCATACGTAACCGATATATAAAGGTTTGTCCCTTAACATCTCTCCTTCAAATCAGAGCTCAGTCACGTAAGCTGCCACAAGCTTCAACTTACTGTGTGCGGTTGAGATAGACATCCACCTATTTCAAGCATAACACATGCAATGGCGCATGATAAGATTGACGAGATGTTTAGAGAAAGAGGAGAGACTAAACGCAAACACCAATAGCAAATAAAACACCAATGATGTACTTGTATGCATTCTGTGCCACAAACATCCAGCTCCAAACCTGATTTACTTGAAACGCTTAGGCATTGCAGTAACACAATTGTGTGGTTGAATAATTCCTACTTAAATTGCAACAACTGACAATGACCATAACAAAGATTTGAATTCATCTGATTGCCAAAATGAGAAATAAAACATACTGATTTGCCCACTAGAATCTCTCCAAAACATTCCTTTAATAGTAATATCGATGGCTGTCTACAAAAATACATAAAAATAAACTTGCCAGGAGACAAGCTGATCCAAAAGTTGGCACTCAGCTTATCACTGAATGTTTGAGGACTTGTTAAGGATAACACCTTCATATTTGACCTGGAACCACTTCATTGAATCCTCCTTAGTGACCCTGTGCTGAATCCCGACTCGAGATTTGCACCTGCGACGACGGGCAACACGGTAGCCAGGGCGCTCCAATACAACATAGAAATCCATTCCATAAATACCAGTTGAAGGATCATATCTGAAAATTTTTAACAAAAAATAGGATGACAGACATTAATAGATTGAAATTTTAAATGCAAAATAGCAGATGCAAATCTTTCCGGGTTAATATTGTAAGACACGGCAACCATAAGATAGATCCAAGAAAACAATATGAAAAAAGTAAATCATGTTTCCTTAAACTACTTCCAAGTTATATGGGTATCAACGCAAAAGCTAATGCGATTTTCTTGTTTTGTAAGAAAAAAGGAAGACTAGCTCCAGTTACCTCCTATGCAACACAGCTAATTATGTAAGTCGTGAAAGCTATAAACCAGAAAGAGATCTAAATGATGATCTGCTTACTTGATTCCAAGATCAATGTGCTCCTGAATACCAAACCCAAAGCAGCCGGTCTCACTGAAGTTCCTTCTCAACAACTCGTATTCCTTAACTTTCAATCCACTCTCAAGAAGCTGCATAGCTTTCTCCCCTCTGACAGTCACATAGCAAGCTATCTTTTCATTACGCCTGATTCCAAAGGACCGCACAGTATACCTTGCTGTTAATGAGAACCATAACAATAACATGAGAGATCAAATATTTTTTTTATAAGAGGGTAAATCTTTTAAGAATATCTCCAAACAGGGAAAGCTGAGATACATACAACATCAGTTAAATGTCCACAAACAAACACTTCAAAACAAATAACTTTTGAACAAAAGCAGGACACTAGTTCACTATCCATAAATTGTGAATGGCGTGGTTTTCATAAACACTAACAAATTGTGATAAACACTGACTTCAACCAAGATCTACCGCAAATACTAGCATGCCTAAATAGCTAAAAATTATACACCCAGTATAATACAAAAATATGAACCAAATATGCTAGTGCCTTCATTAATTGCAAAAAGAAATTTCATCTACATGCATACAGATCGAATTAACCATGGATTAATCCCATTACTTGACATTTACACTGCCATTATTAAGCAATCAACTAGGCTCCAAGGCAAAAAAGAAGGGTTAGGCTAAATGAATTTTTGCATCCTTCCATTCTATTCAGGGTGATATTTAAACTGCGACTGATTAAAAATCAATGATAAACTAAAAAAACTAGCTGAGAAATAATACGTTAAACAAACACCCTACAAAGAACCAGGGGTAAATTTATAGGCAAAAAATGAGCAAGTGAACCGGTGGTGTCTCTGTAAAACTAGGCATTTTGTGGATACATTATCTACATTTGTATAGTATTATATGAGGGCACCCATGCTACAAAGAAGACTATAAGGTGCACTTAGTTGAAGGTTGAGTTATTTAACTAGAGGATTAGGGATAAATTTCCATGGACCCATGTTATAGAAAGTCTAGATTCGCCACTGCAAGGAACAGATTGAATGCATATAGATCAAATTAACCATGGATTAATTCCATGACTCAACATTTACACTGCCATTATCAAGCAATCAGCTAGGCTCCAATGCAACCAAAAAAAAAAAGGGTTAGGCTACATGAATTTTTGCATGTTTCTATTCTATTCAGGATGATATTTAAACTTCAACTGATTAAAAATCAATGATAAACTAGAAAAAACTAGCAGACAAACAATAAGTTAAACAATCACCATAGGCAAAATTTGGGGCATGTGAATCTGTGATCTCTCCATAAACTAGGTAATTTATGTAAATATTTTCTAAAACTTGCATACTACTATATACAGGTACCCATGCTACAAGAATACCAAATGGTGCACTTGGTTGAAGGTTGAGTTATTTAATTAAGTAGATTAGGGATCAATCTCTTTTTCCTTGATTTTTTAGTGATGCACCCATGTTACAGATATCCAAGATTCGCTACTGGATTATAAGGAACAGCTTGAAGGTATACATAAGTGTCACTTCACACATTAGATAAATGTTCATGGTGCAAAGCTAATATTTCCTACAACAGATAATTAATGTACTTAAATGGAAAAGGGTTAGAAGATTCAAAAGCATACCTTTAGAGAAAACAGGGGATTGGCCGCTAAGTTGCTCCAAGACTTTTGCTGCTCTGGTGAGTCGATCTCCACTCTCACCGACGGAGATGTTGAGGACAAGCTTCTGGACCTTGATATCCCTCATGGGGTTGCTCAATTTCTTCTCTGAAGCCTGTTCTCATTGCACAATCAAAAATGATATTTCAAGTTAAATCGAATACATATGATAAAGCATCAACACTCATGAAACGGAAATCGGTGAGAGATACCATGGCGCTTCCGCGGGAAGATGTTACAGCTGCGGCAGCAGAGTTGGAGGGGTACTGAGATGGCGGAAATTGTCGTAATAAACCCTAATCATAGCTAAATTTATAAATGGTACGATATGGGCCGTAGCTTGAGTCGGGTCGTGGGCATTTTTTGGTGAAATTTCGCAAATAGCCACTATATAATAAATTTAAGGAGAACTTTCGCATATAGCCACTCAAAAATAGTTTAATTATGCTTCATAGCTATAGTTTGTTAATTACGATTCATATCTACATGTCATAGGGATGAGAGTGGCGAGTGAGATTGGGAGAAGAAGGAGAGAGGTGAATTGTATATGTATATTGGTTAGATAATTGTATATATGTAACTTGTATACATATGTATTTGTATATCTGGCGAGCGAGATTGAGAGAGGGAGGAGAGAGGCAATGAGATTGGGACAGGGAGGAGAGATTCGAGAGAGATTGGGAGAGGGAGGAAAGAGGCGAGAGAGAGGGCAATAATTTGTATAATTCGCATCTCGTTTGTATAATTCGCGGATACGTTTGTATAATTGAGTAATATAAGTCTGGATTATACAATTATGATAAAAACTCGAAATAACGAATTGATACAACATAAACATATGAATTTTAAATAGGGGAAAAAGGACAAATATACCCCCGAACTATCGTAAATGGTATGTAGATACCCTCCGTCATACGTTTGGGACATTGGTGCCTCTGCCGTCCAAAAACTATAGCATATATGCCATTCACTTTAACGGAAAACTAAATAGAGACACGTGGCGCAATCTTATCTTTCGAACCGATATTTATTAAATATCGGATCGGTGGACAATATTATGACACGTGTATGTCCGTTAGTATAAAGGGTATATATGTTATAGTTTTTGGACGGTAGGGGCACCAATGTCCCAAAAGTATGACAGATGGTATCTGCATACCATTTGCGATAGTTTAGGGGTATATTCGTCCTTTTTCCCTTTAAATAGTTATACAAATTACATTATATAAATTATACTATACAAAATTCAAAAATTACACATTTATACAAACTTTAAAAAGTTATACACAAAGAGATTGAATGTATATGGTGATAAAACTAAAGGAAATCATTGTCATATAAAAATACAAAACATCGTATACAAATCGAACGAAGAATTATTAGTTGTGAATTATACAAATGTGGCGAATTATACAAACATGACTAATTATACAAACTTGAAGTCAGCCCACGTAATTAATGGTTAATGTTAGTCGCGAGTGGTAATTATAACAAACTATCACTATGATGACTAATTAAGTAGTTTAAGTTTGCTTAACCGCGTAATTTTCCCTAAACTTAATTAGGCACTTTAACTATAGTTTGCATATTTTCTGGCTATAGTTATATCTTATTCGTTTATAGAATTCACGGATACGTTTGTATAATTTGTGTATATTTGTATAATGAGTTATTCGTCTGTATTTGTATAAGTATAATTATGTTGGTAGACTTTTGTACTTATATATTTTGTATAAGTAAAATATTGAAATATACAACTAAAATAACTATATACAATTAAGGATTTATACAAATATGCCTACAATTGTAGATCTAAAGTTAGATAATATAAATTTTGGAATGATACAAATATGATAAAACTCGAAATAACGTATTTATATAAACACAAACAACTGAAATTTAAATAGTTATACACATTATATTATATAAATTACATTATACAAAAATTATACATATTATATTATAATTTTTTGAAAACTACACATTTATACAAACTTTAAAAATTTATACAAAAAACATTGAATGTATTCGATAATAAAACTGAAAAATCAAAGAAAATCACTGTCATATACAAATACAAACAGTCATATATATAAATACAAGTCAAACAAAGAATTGTCAGTGGCGAATTATACAAACTCAAAACAAAGCCCACATAATTAATGCTAAATGTCAATGGCGAATTATAAATAAGCCAGAGTATAGCTATATTAACTAATTAACTAGTATATATTTGTTTATTCGTGTAATTCCGTCCTTTTAAGAAGTACTACTATCATTTTTTGCTAACAAGATTTTAATTGGGGGAAAATATATATCAGAAAATAGGGACATTTTGATGTCTAATTAACAAACATTGTGATAATTTAGATGATTATCAAATGTAGGGGAGAGTTTCCGAAATCTGCTCTGTATCGCTAATAGTGATGTAATTAACAAATATGAAGTGAATAGTTGTATCACTGAAATATAATAAATTTAGCTTAGAAAAAAAGTACAAATAGCGTTTTGGAGTGGTTAGGGTTAGGGGTGGGCATAAATACCGGAAAATCGAAAAATCGAATTGAACCGAACTAATTCGGTTCTTCGGTTTTTCGGTTCGGTGTCGATGTTATTTTTTCGGAAGTTCGGTTCTTCGATTCGGTGTAAGGGTCTCAAAACTTCGGTGTATCGAAGAACCACTTTTATTTAAAAAAAAAAAAATTAAAAAAAATTAAAAAAAAATAAAAATAAATAAATAATAATAATAAAATAAAAAAAATAAAAAAAATTAAAAAATAAAAATAATAATATATATATATATGGGCATTCTCTTAACTAAAAATTAAAAATTCAACTAACAATTAAATCATTCATGAACAAATTAATGTAACAACAAATGTACAATTCAATAGTTAACTTCAAATATTAATTTCCAAGAGAAACTCAAACATATTTCTACCAATGTACATTATGTAAAGGAACCTTCTTTGTACTTGTTTTTCTCGAGAAATAGTTGGAGGCACAATGTTCTTGATAAAGACAAATATAGTCTTTTAGTTAGTACAATAAGTGTTCCACGGTGATACGCATCATTCCTTAACATAGTTTTAAATTTCTAAGTATCTTGTACTTTATTTTTATTTTATTTTTCATTCACATCGAAAAACCTATTTAAAAACACCGAATTAAACCAAACCGAAGTAGAAAAAACTGAACCGAACCAAATTAGTTTGTTTTAATATACGGTGCACGCTTTTCTAAAACTAAAAACCAAATCAAAATTTAATAAAACTGAACCGAAGAACCGAACGCCCCGCCCGTTAGGTTGTTTGAGGTTTCCTATCTTAAATATTAGTTCACGCTTATATTTTAGGGTAATTTATTTGTCGAAGCCACCGTTTTAGCTCACGGCTTTATCAAAAAGTAATATGTTGTCTACAAAATGAGTCACGTGCAATGCACGTGCTTGGTTCACCGTTACTTTTAGACGGACATACTAAGAGCCCGTTTGGATTGACTTAAAAAAAGTAACTTTTAAAAAGTAACTTTTAAAGTGCTGGAACTTATTTTTAAAATAAGTAGTTATGTGTTTGGATAAAAGTGCTGCAATTGAAAAAAAAGTTGTTGATGTGTTTGGCAAATAAGTGCTGGTATACACTTTTTTTTATCAAAATGTCTGAAATACCCTTTAAGCTGTTAACATGATAAAAAGTTGATTAATTTAAGGTTTTTATACTTAAAAAAAATAAAACATAATAATAATAATAATAAACAACAACATAATAATAATAATAATAATAAGAATAAGAATAAGAATAATAATAATAGTAATAACAATAATAATAATAACAACAATAACAA